GGGAGAGGAGAGGGGACAAAAGGGTGTAGGGTTTCTGATTTAAGGTAGAAAATGAATTGCGCCATGAGCACGAGGTTCTGTACCGATGGCATGGCGGTTTGGATCTGAGGGCAGAGGGGGGAGAGGAGAGGGGACAAAAGGGTGTAGGGTTTCTTATTTAAGGTAGAAAATGAATTGCGCCATGAGCACGAGGTTCTGTACCGATGGCATGGCGGTTTGGATCTGAGGGCAGAGGGGGGAGAGGAGAGGGGACAAAAGGGTGTAGGGTTTCTGATTTAAGGTAGAAAATGAATTGCGCCATGAGCACGAGGTTCTGTACCGATGGCATGGCGGTTTGGATCTGAGGGCAGAGGGGGGAGAGGAGAGGGGACAAAAGGGTGTAGGGTTTCTGATTTAAGGTAGAAAATGAATTGCGCCATGAGCACGAGGTTCTGTACCGATGGCATGGCGGTTTGGATCTGATGGGAGAGGGGAAAGGAGGAGAGACGAGGAGAGGAGAGACACATAAATGAGATTCGATGCTGGTCTCATTCGCATAAATGACTGCGTGAATTCAGTGCTGTTTGGATCCAAGGGGCTCACACATGGGAGGAGAATACACAGAGACAGAAATGATATATCGCCACGATAGGAGATGACAAGGAGATGAGAGCAGTACTAGGCGAGAAGTCGAAAGGGCGGGGAAGGAAGCGCTACACTGACCATGAGGGTGATAGCAAAAGCCACGTGTAGATAGGAAAAGCCACGTTTCAAAAGGAAGGAAGCGCTACACTGACCATGAGGGTGATAGCAAAAACAGGGCTTTGTGGTGGTCGAGGGAACGGAAAGAGGGGGGGGAAGCACTGACCATGAGGGTGATAGCACAGATGGGGTCTTGGGGAATCAGCCTGGCTTTGTACAGTGCCTGAGAAGCAAAGGGGAGGGGGGAAAGGGGAGGGCGAGTAGGGGGTGACGACGCTTGAATCGACTCAAAAGGCACAGATGGGGTCTTGTGGGGTCTTTGTGTATACGCCACAGCCCAACCCAATAGCAATACACCCAAGCCTCCCCCTCTCTTGCATCTTTCCCCTCCTTCCCCTGCAGTACGCCATTACCATGCTCCCAATCACAGTGTGAATCACAGCCTTCCTACAGCAACCCACAAGCCTTATTAACATACTCCCATCTCCCTCGCTTTCAACCCTCTCCCTCTCTTGCATCCCTCCCCTATCCTCCGTCCCCTGCAGTACGCCATATCCATGCTCCCAATCACAGTGTGGATCACAGTCTTCCTACTGCAACCCACATGCTGTTCAACCCCACCCTCCCCCCATGCCTCCCTCTCCCCCGCTACACCTCCCCTCCGTCCCCTGCAGTACGCCATATCCATGCTCCCAATCACAGTGTGGATCACAGTCTTCCTCTCACGCCTCAACATGGCCATATGAAAGCGGCAGCATAACCGTCTCAAGGCACGAGGGCAGGCACGAGCACTTCTCAGGTGTCTGCCTCCACACGTGTCTTCCTCTCACACCTGAACATCACTACTTTGAGACGACTCAAGGTCACTATTGAGTCGACTCCGAAGTCACAAGCAGTTCTCAGGTGCCTCCACACGTGTCTTCCTCTCACACCTGCACATCAGTACCACCTTGAGACGTCTCAAGGTAGACGGGGTGACTCTCAAGCCGTCTGGGTTGCACAAGGAGGTTTTTTCGCGTGTGATGAGGCGATTTTCGAGTCGACTAAAAAATTGCCTCTCAAGCCGTCTGGGTAGCACAAGGAGGTTCTTTCTTTCTCGATTTCCTCAACATGACCAAACGAAGGCGTCAGCACACCCAACTGGGGACAAGAGAGCTCGAGCATTCTTCGAGAGCTTCAAAATCAAAAGCCGCCTCCGCTCACGCTTCAACATGGCCATCTGGAGACGCGGCACGTCAACACTTGGCGGAGGAGTGTTCTTATGTGAGAGTGACACAACAGCATACACGCGTACATGATGCGCTTTCCATGCCTCAGCTTCGTTGTTCGAAGCATACTGGTTACGCGTAGCTTCAAATAAGATAGTTAGCTGTCAGAGTGTAAAAATAAGCAGGAAATCTCATTGCACTTCCATAACTCCTCTAGTCGCACAACCTTAGCAGAGAACACACTACCAGACCAGACCACAATATCATGTTACTCGCTGCAGCAGTAGCGACCGGAGCAGAACTGGAAGCGGAAGCAGAACCTGAAATTCTGAAGGACACTCAATAGCAGCCATTCAGCAACACCTTAGTCAATAACAAATCCTTGGATGTCTCAACTTTACGACATATCCTCTTAACATCATTCACTCAGTATATTATGTATATTATAGACATAAGCGAATAGGTATACACTAGCTTAGATTTTGCAAACTCGCACCCGCTGACTGCAATTTCAACTGCAATCCTCATGTGTTTTCTGCTGTGCGCTGACCCAGCCAGACACAGCTCCAAACCAGTCGAAGAATTTCAACACCAGGCCCTTCCTCACCAGACCAGTCACAGTACCGAGCCGCTAAGCTCTCACCGCCAAGCCCCAAACCAAACAATACGAGCCAAACCAGACAAAGGGAACACAACCATACCATACCATACCAGACCTCATGTCTCTCACGATTCGCGACTGGCTCCACCACCTTGACGAGTCTCCTCGCGTCTCGGGAATTATATTTCGTCAGTCAACGCCCGATCGACTCGAGGATGGATTGTGAGAAAGCTGTTGCCTATAAGTTGCTCCCTCAGTTCAACCTCTTGCCATCTCAAACTTTCTGCTCTGCTTTCTCCCATCCATTCAACGTCTATCGATCTCGCCTCAATACCAATTCACTTCACGATTCCGAAAGCCATGGCAGCCAGGGGATATATTTTCGTATGCATTGCGCTCCTCCTTGCGACTTCCGCGGCCGCGCAGCGTGGACCGCCTGGCGGAGGCCCTCCCGGAGGCCAGCAGTCCGGAGGGGCGCGCGGAGGACCTGGCGGACCCGGGTCTGGCGGGCCTGGCGGGCCTGGTGGGCCTGCTGGTCCGCGCGGTCCTCCGTTCAACTTGACGGTCGTCGGAAATCTGACGGCGGACGTCGGCGCGCGATTGGCCAATTGCTCCGCAGACGAAACCTTTCTCGACGGCCGCTTTCACCTCGCCATCTTTAAGTGAGCTTCGATGTTACCGTAACCCTAACTTTCGCGGGCCTCCTTTCGTCGGATTTTCTCGTTCATTTAGCTTCAGCGTCGCAAATTCTTCTCCTCTTGGTTGCAGATATTACAATTTCGATGCGCTTCGTGAAACTGATTCGTTCTTCTGTTCCCTTCCCCCTCCGCCAGGAACGCGAGCGGCAACTACAACCTGGCGGTCGACGCGCTGCTCGTGGGCGCCACGGGTGGGCCGCCCGACTCCCTCGCGATCGTGAAGGGCGCCGTCTGCGACTCTTCCGCCTCCGCCGCCGCGATCCTCGCGATTCCGCTGGCGGAGTCCGACTGGCAGCAGCGCGAAGGCTGGTGGCTGCTGCACGCGGAGGCGCGGCTCGACGCGTTTCTCGAGAACGCGGACGCCGCCACCGTCGAAGCGCTCCTCGCGCTCCTCCCTAACGCGACGCTCCCGGCGGCGCGCGGCGGCGGCGGACGTGGAGGGAGCTCGGGCGGCACGCGGAGCGGGCAGGGCAGCAGGCGCATGGGGAGGGAGCTGCTGATGCGCGCAGCGGGGCGCGTCACCGGCGCCAGGCAGGGGGGGCAGCAGCAGGGGGCGCCACGGCAGCCGCCTGCAGGTGGTTCCTCAGGTGGATACCCAGGCGCTGGGGGCGCGGGGGGGATGATGGGGGGTGGCGGGGTGAACGCGACTGTAAGTGGGTATGCCGTGCTGGCCACTGCCACTGCGGGGGGTGTGGCGTGGGGCGGCCAGCTCATGGGCGTCAAACTGCCCTCCGCCGCTGCCTGATGTGATGGCGGTGCTGCTGGCGGCTTTGCGCTGCCACTTGGGGGGGGGGGGGGAGGGAGGGGGAGAGGGGGGGAGGGGGGGGGAGGGGGGGGTGTGGCGTGGGGCAGCCAGCTCATGGGCGTCAAACTGCCCTCCGCCGCTGCCTGATGCGTTGCTGCTGCCGTCGCTGCTGCTGCTGCTGCTGCCGTCGCTGCTGCTGCCGTTGCCGCCGCTGCCGTTGCCGCTGCTGCTGCCGTCGCTGCTGCTGCCGTTGCCGCTGCTGCTGCCGTCCCTGCCGCCGCTGCTGCTGCCGTCCCCGCCGCCGCTGCTGCCACGGCTGTTGCTGCTGATGGTGGCGGTGTTCCATTGTGGTTCCGTTCCTTGCTGGGGATGGAGTAGCAGATCCCAATTCAGGGTTCTTTTAGCTTGGAGTTTTGTTATGGGGTGTTTTTGTTAGGAATGAGCATCAGGGGCAGGAATGCTGGCAAGACACCAGGCTAGATTTCACCAGCTGACTTGCCAGTCTTCCTGCCGTTGCCTTTGCTTACCGTATTATATCTGCGTAATGTAATATTGCTTTGAACATGTTCTTTCAGGAGTAACCGTGTGGTGTGTTTGTATTAGGAGGAATGAGCATCCAAGGCAGGAATGCTGGGAAGGTACTGGGTTTGTTTCCACCAGCTGACGTGCCTATCTTCCTGCCTTTGCCTTTGCTCATTTGTCCACAGATTTACCTTCTCCTTTTAAAGATGCTCATGTGTTCAGATCATGTGTTCAGTAGTCTACACTGTTTAGCACTGTACACATTCGCACAATGCTGAAATCTGTGAGCCTGGTTCTACCCAATGCTGATTAAGAATCTCGTCAATACCATGCGCTTCACACACCAAGGGATGCGAAGGTAATATGTAGCTATTTTATTACCAATGTTCCATCTTGAAAATAACATAAATATGAATAATTATCTCCCTTTTTTCTCATCTTGTAAATTGTGTACGAGAGGCCTCTTTTGTGATGCTTGCTCACAGGAGTGTACCCCGAGGCTGGATGTTTCGTGATTCTCCATCATGTTTGCACTTCTCGTGTCTTCATATGGCCATGTTGAGTCGCGAGAGGAAGACCGTGATCCACACTGTGATTGGGAGCATGGCAATGGCGTACTGCAGGGGATGGAGGGGAGGGATGCAAGAGAGGGGAGGGGGGGGGGGGGGGGGGGGGGGGGGGGGTGGATTTTGATATAGCATGTGGGTTGCCCTGGGAAGACCGTGATCCACACTGTGATTGGGAGCATGGCAATGGCGTACTGCAGGGGAAGGGTTGCAAGAGAGGGGGAGAGGGAGGGGAGGTGGGGAGTTTTGCAAGAGAGGAGGAGAGGGAGGGGAGATGGGGGGTTTTGCAAGAGAGGGGGAGAGGTGGAAGTTAGGTGGAGGAGACTGTGATTCACACTGTGATGGGGAGCATAGCAATGGCATACTGCAGGGGAAGGAGGGGAGAGGTAGTGGGGGAGTAGAGGTTTGGGAGGCTTGAGAGTTGCAGTAGGAAGACTGTGATCCACACTGTGATTACAGTGGAAATGGCAATGGCACACTGCAGGGGAAGGAGGGGAGGGATGCAAAAGAGGGGGAGAGGTGGAAGTTAGGTGGAGGAGATTGTGATCCACACTGTGATGGGGAGCATGGAAATGGCGTACTGCAGGGGACATGTGGATGGGGTGGATGGGGAGGATAGAGAGAGGGGGAGGGGGAGGGATGGGGGTTTGAAAGGCACGTGGGTTGCTGTAGGAAGACTGTGATTCACACTGTGATTGGGAGCATGGATATCACATCCTGCTGGGGAAGGAGGGCGGGGGAGATGGGGAGGATAGTGGGGGGGAGGGAGAGTAGAGGTTTGGGAGGCATGAGAGATGCCGTAGGGAGACCGTGATCCACACTGTGATTGGGAGCATGGCAATGGCGTACTGCAGGGTACGGAGGGGAGGGTTGCAAGAGAGGGCAGGGGTGGAATGGAAGCTAATGAGGCATGTGGATTGCACAGGGAGACTGTGGATCCACACTGTGATTGGGAGCATGGCAATGGCTTTTGAGGTGCCTCAAAAGTCATGGCAATGGCATACTGCAGGGGACGGATGGGAGGGATGCAAGAGAGCCCACCGTTCCACCACCCACCTGTCGCAGCATCAGGGACGCCAGCATTCCTGCTAGAGGCTTGGTGGCTGGGCTGAGCTGCGCCATGAGCACCCATTCACACAAAGCCCACCATCCCATATCCCCCATCGCCATCCCCCCTCCTCGTTCCTCACACGCACACCCATCTGTGGAAGCATCAGGGAGGCCAGCATTCCTGCCCGAGGCTTGGTGGCCGGGCTGAGCTGCGCCATGAGTGAGCACACAAACAAACATACAGCCCAGCCGTCCCCCCTTTTTCACCCACCTGTCGCAGCATGAGCGAGGCCAGCATCCCTGCTAGAGGCTTGGTGGCGGGGCTGAGCTGCGCCATGAGTGAGCACACAAACAAACATACAGCCAAGCCGTCCCCCCTTTTTCACCCACCTGTTGCAGCATGAGGGACGCCAGCATTCCTGCTAGAGGCTTGGTGGCGGGGCTGAGCTGCGCCATGAGTGAGCACACAAACTTACAGCCCAGCCGTCCCCCCTTTTTCACCCACCTGTCGCAGCATGAGAGCGGCCAGCATCCCTGCTAGAGGCTTGGTGGCTGGGCTGAGTTGCGCCATGAGTGAGCACACAAACTTACAGCCCAGCCGTCCCCCTTTTTTCACCCACCTGTCGTAGCATGAGCGAGGCCTGCATTGTTGCCAGAGGCTTGGTGGCGGGGCTGAGCTGCGCCATGAGTGAGCACACAAACTTACAGCCCAGCCGTCCCCCCTTTTTCACCCACCTGTCGTAGCATGAGCGAGGCCAGCATTGTTGCCAGAGGCTTGGTGGCGGGGCTGAGCTGCGCCATGAGTGAGCACACAAACTTACAGCCCACCCGTCCCCCCTTTTTCACCCACCTGTCACAGCATGAGCGAGGCCAGCATTCCCGCCAGAGGCTTGGTGGCGGGGCTGAGCTGCGCCATGAGTGAGCACACAAACTTACAGCCCAGCCGTCTCCCCTTTTTCACCCACCTGTCGTAGCATGAGCGAGGCCAGCATTGTTGCCAGAGGCTTGGTGGCGGGGCTGAGCTGCGCCATGAGTGAGCACACAAACTTACAGCCCAGCCGTCCCCCCTTTTTCACCCACCTGTCGTAGCATGAGGGAGGCCAGCATTGTTGCCAGAGGCTTGGTGGCGGGGCTGAGCTGCGCCATGAGTGAGCACACAAACTTACAGCCCAGCCGTCCCCCTTTTTTCACCCACCTGTCGCAGCATGAGCGAGGCCAGCATTCCCGCCAGAGGCTTGGTGGCGGGGCTGAGCTGCGCCATGAGTGAGCACACAAACTTACAGCCCAGCCGTCCCCCCTTTTTCACCCACCTGTCACAGCATGAGCGAGGCCAGCATTGTTGCCAGAGGCTTGGTGGCGGGGCTGAGCTGCGCCATGAGTGAGCACACAAACAAACATACAGCCCAGCCGTCCCCCCTTTTTCACCCACCTGTCGCAGCATGAGCGAGGCCAGCATCCGTGCTAGAGGCTTGGTGGCGGGGCTGAGCTGCGCCATGAGTGAGCACACAAACAAACATACAGCCCAGCCGTCCCCCCTTTTTCACCCACCTGTTGCAGCATGAGGGACGCCAGCATTCCTGCTAGAGGCTTGGTGGCGGGGCTGAGCTGCGCCATGAGTGAGCACACAAACTTACAGCCCAGCCGTCCCCCCTTTTTCACCCACCTGTCGTAGCATGAGCGAGGCCAGCATTTCCGCCAGAGGCTTGGTGGCGGGGCTGAGTTGCGCCATGAGTGAGCACACAAACTTACAGCCCAGCCGTCCCCCCTTTTTCACCCACCTGTCGTAGCATGAGCAAGGCCAGCATTGTTGCCAGATGCTTGGTGGCGGGGCTGAGCTGCGCCATGAGTGAGCACACAAACTTACAGCCCAGCCGTCCCCCCTTTTTCACCCACCTGTCGTAGCATGAGCGAGGCCAGCATTGTTGCCAGAGGCTTGGTGGCGGGGCTGAGCTGCGCCATGAGTGAGCACACAAACTTACAGCCCAGCCGTCCCCCCTTTTTCACCCACCTGTCGTAGCATGAGCGAGGCCAGCATTGTTGCCAGAGGCTTGGTGGCGGGGCTGAGCTGCGCCATGAGTGAGCACACAAACTTATAGCCCAGCCGCCCCCCCTTTTTCACCCACCTGTCGTAGCATGAGCGAGGCCAGCATTGTTGCCAGAGGCTTGGTGGCGGGGCTGAGCTGCGCCATGAGTGAGCACACAAACTTATAGCCCAGCCGTCCCCCCTTTTTCACCCACCTGTCACAGCATGAGCGAGGCCAGCATTCCCGCCAGAGGCTTGGTGGCGGGGCTGAGCTGCGCCATGAGTGAGCACACAAACTTACAGCCCAGCCGTCCCCCCTTTTTCACCCACCTATCACAGCATGAGCGAGGCCAGCATTCCCGCCAGAGGCTTGGTGGCGGGGCTGAGTTGCGCCATGAGTGAGCACACAAACTTACAGCCCAGCCGTCCCCCCTTTTTCACCCACCTGTCGTAGCATGAGCGAGGCCAGCATTGTTGCCAGAGGCTTGGTGGCGGGGCTGAGCTGCGCCATGAGTGAGCACACAAACTTACAGCCCAGCCGTCCCCCCTTTTTCACCCACCTGTCGCAGCATGAGAGCGGCCAGCATCCCTGCTAGAGGCTTGGTGGCTGGGCTGAGCTGCGCCATGAGTGAGCACACAAACTTACAGCCCAGCCGTCCCCCTTTTTTCACCCACCTGTCGCGGCATGAGCGAGGCCAGCATTCCCGCCAGAGGCTTGGTGGCGGGGCTGAGCTGCGCCATGAGTGAGCACACAAACTTACAGCCCAGCCGTCCCCCTTTTTTCACCCACCTGTCGCGGCATGAGCGAGGCCAGCATTCCCGCCAGAGGCTTGGTGGCGGGGCTGAGCTGCGCCATGAGTGAGCACACAAACTTACACCCCAGCCGTCCCCCCTTTTTCACCCACCTGTCGCAGCATGAGCGAGGCCTGCATTCTTGCCAGAGGCTTGGTGGCGGGGCTGAGCTGCGCCATAAGTGAGCACACAAACTTACAGCCCAGCCGTCCCCCCTTTTTCACCCACCTGTCGCAGCATGAGCGAGGCCAGCATTCCCGCTAGAGGCTTGGTGGCGGGGCTGAGCTGCGCCATGAGTGAGCACACAAACTTATAGCCCAGCCGTCCCCCCTTTTTCACCCACCTGTCACAGCATGAGCGAGGCCAGCATTCCCGCCAGAGGCTTGGTGGCGGGGCTGAGCTGCGCCATGAGTAAGCACACAAACTTACAGCCCAGCCGTCCCCCCTTTTTCACCCACCTGTCACAGCATGAGCGAGGCCAGCATTCCCGCCAGAGGCTTGGTGGCGGGGCTGAGTTGCGCCATGAGTGAGCACACAAACTTACAGCCCAGCCGTCCCCCCTTTTTCACCCACCTGTCGTAGCATGAGCGAGGCCAGCATTGTTGCCAGAGGCTTGGTGGCGGGGCTGAGCTGCGCCATGAGTGAGCACACAAACTTACAGCCCAGCCGTCCCCCCTTTTTCACCCACCTGTCGTAGCATGAGCGAGGCCAGCATTGTTGCCAGAGGCTTGGTGGCGGGGCTGAGCTGCGCCATGAGTGAGCACACAAACTTATAGCCCAGCCGTCCCCCCTTTTTCACCCACCTGTCGTAGCATGAGCGAGGCCAGCATTGTTGCCAGAGGCTTGGTGGCGGGGCTGAGCTGCGCCATGAGTGAGCACACAAACTTATAGCCCAGCCGTCCCCCCTTTTTCACCCACCTGTCGCAGCATGAGCGAGGCCAGCATTCCCGCCAGAGGCTTGGTGGCGGGGCTGAGCTGCGCCATGAGTGAGCACACAAACTTACAGCCCAGCCGTCCCCCCTTTTTCACCCACCTGTCGCAGCATGAGAGCGGCCAGCATCCCTGCTAGAGGCTTGGTGGCTGGGCTGAGCTGCGCCATGAGTGAGCACACAAACTTACAGCCCAGCCGTCCCCCTTTTTTCACCCACCTGTCGCAGCATGAGCGAGGCCAGCATTCCCGCCAGAGGCTTGGTGGCGGGGCTGAGCTGCGCCATGAGTGAGCACACAAACTTACACCCCAGCCGTCCCCCCTTTTTCACCCACCTGTCACAGCATGAGCGAGGCCAGCATTCCCGCCAGAGGCTTGGTGGCGGGGCTGAGCTGCGCCATAAGTGAGCACACAAACTTACAGCCCAGCCGTCCCCCCTTTTTCACCCACCTGTCGCAGCATGAGCGAGGCCAGCATTCCCGCTAGAGGCTTGGTGGCGGGGCTGAGCTGCGCCATGAGTGAGCACACAAACTTACAGCCCAGCCGTCCCCCCTTTTTCACCCACCTGTCGCAGCATGAGCGAGGCCTGCATTCTTGCCAGAGGCTTGGTGGCGGGGCTGAGCTGCGCCATGAGTGAGCACACAAACTTACAGCCCAGCCGTCCCCCCTTTTTTCACCCACCTGTCGTAGCATGAGCGAGGCCTGCATTGTTGCCAGAGGCTTGGTGGCGGGGCTGAGCTGCGCCATGAGTGAGCACACAAACTTACAGCCCAGCCGTCCCCCCTTTTTCACCCACCTGTCGTAGCATGAGCGAGGCCAGCATTGTTGCCAGAGGCTTGGCGGCGGGGCTGAGCTGCACCATGAGTGAGCACACAAACTTACAGCCCAGCCGTCCCCCCTTTTTCACCCACCTGTCGTAGCATGAGTGAGGCCAGCATTGTTGCCAGAGGCTTGGCGGCGGGGCTGAGCTGCACCATGAGTTAGCACACAAACTTACAGCCCAGCCGTCCCCCCTTTTTCACCCACCTGTCACAGCATGAGCGAGGCCAGCATTCCCGCCAGAGGCTTGGTGGCGGGGCTGAGCTGCGCCATGAGTGAGCACACAAACTTACAGCCCAGCCGTCTCCCCTTTTTTACCCACCTGTCGTAGCATGAGCGAGGCAAGCATTGTTGCCAGAGGCTTGGTGGCGGGGCGGAGCTGCGCCATGAGTGAGCACACAAACTTACAGCCCAGCCGTCTCCCCTTTTTCACCCACCTGTCGTAGCATGAGCGAGGCCAGCATTGTTGCCACAGGCTTGGTGGCGGGGCTGAGCTGCGCCATGAGTGAG